AAAATACAAAAAGTCTAATATTTTTTAAAAAAAATTGCACTAATAAATGTAAAAAGATTTTTTCTAAGCATTTTTGAATCATATCTTTCGCTGTTTACGTATTAAAAAAAGCAATATTGAACATACCGGAGAAATAAAGTTATGTTTTCAATAGAAACCAATATGTACTGTAATAATTGTTGTTGTTGTTAATTTACGTCGCACTAGAGCTGCACAATGGGCTATTGGCGACGATCTGGGAAACATCCCGGAGGATAATCCGAAGACATGCCATAACAATTTTGATCCTCTGAGGAGGGGATGGCACCCCCGCTTCGGTAGCCCGACGACCTGCGCGCGAAGTCGAGCACTTTACGGTAGCACAGTTTATCGAGAACCAATACCGCACACCCTCGGTCCCTACGCAGACTGATCCAAGTGGTCACCCACCCGCACACTGGCCGTAACGAGTGATGCTTGACTTCGGTGATCTTCTGGGAACCGTGTCTTAACGATCAGTCCACTGCGGGACGTACTGTAATAAATTGAACTTTTAAATGTGCTTTTTGTAAATATTTAAAAAGTGTTTAATAAAAAGTTTAGTTATTGCACACATAGAATAAAAATGTCCGAACTTGAAAACTTTTAACTAACTTAAAAAGTATTGGAAAGTGTCCATTTTAGATCGCATTTTGAAAAACAATATTTTATATATTTCATTTTAAGGAACATTTTAAGTGTTCAGACATTACCGGAAAACTGAAAAAAATCAGGATACTTATACGTTTAAATGTATCAATGTGTCTTATCATAAATCGGAGAGAATTAAAATTTTCAATATACCGGTATTTAAATTTAAAAAAAAAAAAAGGAAAAAAAAACTGTTTTCAGTCAAATGCTATTTTTTGCTGCTATTTTTTGCTAAAATACAGGTTACAGATGTTTGAAGTTGAAAATTAAATATTTATTCTGTTTCGATAATTAAAATTAAAAATGGCCTCGCATTGTGAATTTATATCTCATTTATTCTACCTATTCGAAGAGACAAGTGATCTTGTAATTTTATTATTAGCTTCCCAATAAAATATCAAGTGGAATAGCATTTAACCTTTGGAGTGTAGTAATGTTTACCATTACATTCCACTTTTCCGGAAAATCTCAAAAAACTAGTCTAGACGGTTGTCAAATAAAAATACTTAGTTACTACTTCAGAAATTAAGCTTTTATGAATATAGAATTGTCATATTAACTCTTAAATGCATAGCTTCTTATAATATCACTGAAAATTTACTAGATAATTTTATTATATAATCTTAAAATATAAAAAAAGCAAACAACGCTTATTGTCAATCTAATTAATATCTAAATTTAAAAATAAGAATTAAAAATAATTAAAATTCTTCATAATTTAGCTGTACTTGCGCAACATGGTATTTCTGAAAGAAATCTTACTTGAAAAAATTACTAAATAAAATATCAGAAAAATTTGATCTATTTTACTGTGTGATGTAATTTTATCGATGCAAAATGACAATTTTTCTTCTGTTATTATAAACAATGAACGATATTTTTTAATATTTATTTTCGCTCAAAGTATATTTCTTCGATGTAAAAAGGTTAATTAAAATGTCAATTATTTAATAATATTATGGAAACATGATTCGAACTAAATTACAGATGATGTTAACAAAATATTGCATAACTAATGATGATTGCAAACACATTTATTTCTGAAATAAATTTAAAAACAATGCATGAAAAATTTTTTTTAGCTATTAAAGCAGTGATAAGCGAAAATTTTCTTTATTACAAGTACGAAAAGTACTCAGTGTTTTTAAACATAAACAAATTAAAACATATCACACTGGAAAAAAAGTTCAGTCAAATCTACCAGAATATGGTTAAATTTACCATGTTTCTGGCTCTATTGGAACATTAAAACCATCAGTAATGTTTACCGAAATGCTATAGCAATTATTTTGCTTAAATTAAATATAAAATATAATGTTATAATATGCGATACAATTTAGTATTTGTGACAAAATGTAGTAATATTATCATGATTTCTAAAAGTATGGAATAAAAATCATTTATTCCATTAAATTTATGTTTAAGTCTTGTATTTTTCACTAAATGCGAGGAAATAAAAACTTTAAATTCGAAAGCCAGAATTTCCAGTAAACCACAACCATCTGGCTGGAAAATATTCCAAATGAATGGTTTAAATACCGTATATTTAGATTTCTTTATTAGAACTATTCTTTTATTTATTTATTTTTTTACTAGAAATAGCATTATTATGCAGTACTGCAATTTTATAAGAATTTTTTTTACGTGTAAAAGGATATATCATAATATATCATTCAAGGCGTTTAAAAATGGCTAATACCATCTGGAGAAAAAAAAGAAGAGAAATTGAGATAAAACATCACGACACATATCACTTTTTGACTTGTTTTTTGCTATGCTTCGCTTATTCTAACAAGTCAATATTTAATGTGCTCCATGCTACATTTTTTGTAACATGTCAAGCTATAAATTATAAGGCATTAATTACAACAACTAATCTTAGTTTAAGATTTAGTATGGAGAGCGTTTTTATAAGCACGCATCTTAAACCATCACACTTTATGAAATTATATGCATTTTTATAGTAATTCGTGCCATTCAACAATAAATCATTCATTTTCTCTTTCAGTTAGCTTTTGTAAAGCATCACGTTTAGTCTGAAAATTACAGATTACCTTTGAGGAAAACTTAGTTAAAAAATATCATTGTCTTGCAGTAATTAACAATTTAGTCATTAAAAAAGATGTATGGATTTATTTAAGGGGACATCACAATATTGCGATATTAAATATACCCGGAGTTACTTAGAATATTCATTACTCAATCATGATACGCATTCTATTTTGCTTTGATTCTCACAAATGCTATATACTCACACAAGGGATTTAATATTACACAAAATGAGCTTGAAAATAGTTTTAGTAATGAAAAATATGAAAAGTTAGCCAAAAAATTATGGAACACATTAATAACCTTTAATCTACTAATTGGATTTCCTCGCTCTAGCTTCTAATCCTAATGGTATGAAAGGCTAACCTTAACAATGTTGTTTTTCTTGTAGAGACTTCATAATAAGTTAAGAAATAAGGCATAAAAACGTACTTTCGTTGAATAAACTTACGGCGGATTGGAACCTTCGAGCTTTTAAGTTTGCGATGTAACCGTAATCCGGAAAATATCTCCCCACTGTTTTCAACAAAAGAGTGGTCAAAAAATTCGAGCCTCTTTAGTGTTAAGTTAGATTTTCGCATATATGTTCTTACATCTAGAACTAGTAAAGGTAATCTTAAAAGAATTAACACAATTTTATTACTCAATTTTCCTTCTATAATTCAGTGTAAAAAATATTTTTTTTCTTAAATAATGTTGAAAATATATATGATTTTTAAGGTACATATTAACATAATTTAAGCTGTCAAATTTAAAATAAAAAAAAACCCCGAAATTACAAAAAATAGGTTGATTAGTTCGTGAAAAATGGAAATTTAAAAATACGACTTTTTTAAACTTTATTACTATTATACTATTTGGACGAATTTAGTTCTTCCTTATTTTGTCATTTGAAACATTGCGTTTTGTTCATTACGTTATTTAAAATCAAGTAAAAATTAATTGAATACATTGCAGTTCGAAACTAAGTTTTATTGTTATTAAATATAATAGCAAAAATTAATATCTTTAAAATTTGTACTGTGTATAAAATTGTGTTTGAGCAAACGAGTTTTTTAACATTAAACAAAACTCGCTTAAATAGTTCCATAACTGTAGTGAAATGTGCATAAATGCAAATTACACTAATGATTAAATTTTATAAAAATACAAGTACATTTGAAAGGCCCTAAACGTTTGAGGTTCATTTGTCTAAAATTTTGGGACGATATTTCCCAGCTTGCTACCCCTCTATCCCACATAGAGTTAAAAATTCGTCAACTAAAAGTAATGTTCATTGAAGGAAAGTAGGTTTGTCGTCTACTTTTGTAACTTGAAATATCGTTTACTTTTATTAATTAGTATTTTTAAAGACTGTCTCTTGATCTTTACGGTAATTATTATGTGGATATAACGGTATATCATATTTTTTGTTCCGAAAAATGTTCCGGTAAAAATAGGTCTGACGGTAAAAAGTACCGGCACTCTATGCGCCGGTACTTTTTACCGCAATAATGCATTTCAAGCAAGAAATAATGCATTTCAAAGAGGGGAGCTTTACCCTGATTCACTAACTTGAAATAGTTTTTCCTCGTAACAATAGTTTTCACTGCTCCAGACGAATGGCTAGGGGATTTCTTAGGAAAAACAAACTATATACAAAGATGCCAACTTGCTCCGGACAGCACATATATATTTTAAAGTGGTAGTTAATCAATTGCGATTCTTAGTTTAATAAATTCAATTTAGTGGATTTTTATCCACCACTATTTCTAAATAATTCGTAGGCTTATATAATTACGTTATGTGTTCANTTTACTTTGTAGTTAATTACCGTTTTTTTAATTATTTTGGCGTGTCCGGAGCAGTTGGCATCTCTGTATATACAATGCAGAAAAACTTTTTCATTAACCCTTTCGCGCCGACTGTCACAAATACGTGTAAGCATAAAACCGTATCAACCAAGGTAGAAAGATAAAGCTGGTAATCAAAGTAATTCTTTAGCAGTTTATTTGTGGGTGGGGTTATAATTGTTTGATTTATTTAATTCACCACTACTTGTTTCGAATTAAAAATTGTATAGTTACACTTTTAACACACATGGTTTTGATGTGTCAGATTTAAAATGAAAGCAAAAATAAATCTGTCAAATTAGCTATGCCCAAACTTAAGCTACCGCTTTTTGATTTTTACCATCCTGATACTTATTCCTTAGGAATACAATCATGACTCGCCCGCCACGAAAGGGTTAATTTAGGAATGCTTTTTTTTTTCATTTAAAAACTTTTATAAATATGACTCACCATTAGCACCTCTGATACAGAACTGATGCTGAGGATGAACATCGTGACGCTCACTATCACCGGCGGACCTATAAGACAAGACATGTTATTTATTAATCATGTGCAATTAATACAATTTAAATCGTTTATTGTAAATACAATTTGTTGCATTTTGCAGAAAGAAAATCTATTCGTTATTTTTTGCAAATACGTAACATTGTAAATCAAGTCAATATTATGTATGTAAACATCTTGATTTGCAAATATTTAATTACAGTAAATGAGACCTCTAGAGAAAAAAAATTATTTATTTTGTCCCCTTAGAAATGCTGAGTTAGAATCAGTGAATTTGCTTGTGCTTTATTCTAGATTAATATAAATAATGATTTAGAATAAAATAATAATTGGAATTAAGAATAATTAGAATGGAATATTTATTAGATTTAATTTTAGAATAATAATAAAAATTATGTTTGGACTAGAAGGAACATAGACTATAAGTTTATATTATGTATTCGCATGCACAATTTAGGAAAATGATAATTCCTTTCTTTAAAGTCACATCTTATTTTATCCATTTATCTTAACGCTGTGCAAATTTGTAATAATATGTACAGTGCACAGAAAAACAAACAAAAAAAAGTGGAGTACCTTGAATAACTTTTGATCTAAAGATGGAAAAATCAAATATTTAAAATTTGATTTCTGAAGAAATGTTCGACAGATTTTACTAAAATTTTGTATTTTGCCTAGTAATATTATATTCTTTAAAATGCCTAGTAATATTATATTATATTCTTTAAAACCATCAATAAAGAAAATAATAAAATTTTTTTATTAAAAGTTATGTTTTGCATGGAATTATCTTTGAAAAAACACATTTTATAATTTTGGGCAAGAAGTTTTCTATTCGCTTAAAATGTTCTCAAGATATCGCGAAATACGCAAAAATTGAAATTAACATTAAGGGATCCAAACTTTTGAGCCCTCTCCTGGCAAAATTATTGGGACCATATTTCCTTGATAAAAGGTATAAGGTATGTTTATTCAAAGAAATCACACTTTTGTACCTGATTTCGTAACTTAAAACACTTATTACTTAGCATTAGCATCGTCTGCACTTATTAATTAGCTTATTTGAGGTCCCACCCTCGAGCCAGTAAGATTAAGTTCCAGACTATGATGATCCGATCATTACATCAAAAGTTATTCAGGATTGGTTCGTTTTTTTTCAGATATTAGTTTTTGAGAAGAGAAAACCAAATATTCAGAATTGTTCGTTTTATAATCTTTCTGATTTCGCTCTCAAAATATTTTCAATTATTTTTATGTATGTATTTATCTGAGGACATGATTTCAAAGATTGACGAGAATTTTTCGAGAACAAAAATCCGAATTATCAGAAATTTTAATCACAACTTTTAATTTTTTCTGATTTCGTCCTTATATTTTTTTTAAGGAAATTATTGTTTCTCAATTGTTTTTATGTATGAATTTCTGCCAGGACGGAATTAATTATTATTTGAGAGGTTGCAAAATATTTGCTTTAAAGCAGGTAAAATATTAATTTTTTTCAAATTAAAGCCCATTTTCATTACTAAAGCTTGTAATCCACTTTTGTTTAGATGAGTGGTTGATAATTAAATGATATAATTATTCAAATCTCATCAATTGGAAATTAATATTGTCATTTTATTTTCTCAATTCCCTAATATTAAGGATGGATTTTTTAAAACTGAATTTTAATTTTCCTAAGCAAATCTCTTAATGAATATTTTTTCCTCCTAAAGTCTTGCCATGAATCGATGTTTTCTACTGGATTACAATCTGTACGACTGCTTCAAAATGAACATTTGTTTGGATCTTGAATGCAGCATTCGCTTTGATGACGAAAATTTACAATACGTGGATGTTATAGATAATTATTTTTCCGTTTTTAATTAGCTTATGTATTTTACTTTTGTATTTTGTTTTTGTATTTCATATTTGTTTGTATTCTTTTTCTCTTTTCCTGGACTTTAAAGAATTTATTTTAATTGCGCCATTGCAAAAATATTTTCAACATTAACAAAGCCAAAAAACAGAATCTTGACTTAAAACTTTCAGGGGTAGAAAAAATGTCACAGCATTTTGAAAAGCCTTTTTATATTTCGCTTAGTAAAAACTTTAGTTTCGATCATTTACAAGTAATTATGTATGCATGATGAAAAAAATTAACGTTGAGGTGGTTTTGAAAATTTTAGCTTTTCAGAATTTTTTTCTCATACTTCAATGAATATGGTTGAAATATTTTTACTTTAAAGAAACTAAAAACGGTTCTACCTCAAAGCTTTTAGACATACGAAATTTACATAAGCTTTTTGAAAATCCCTTACCTTATTTTTACACGGTGAAAAAATAAGTACTGTCAAAACTACTAGAATATGATAACATTTACAGCGTTCTGATTCTAGAGTATGCTTACTAGAGGAAAAGTTATTACGGTTTCTTTTTTTCATTTTTCGAACTGTAAATTTTACAACATTAACTTAAATGGTCAAATATTATTTTATTTAGTAAATCAAAATGCAAAACTTAATTACAACGTGGAACAAATGCAGCAAGTTTGCTCTGTACTGAGAAAAAAGAATTGTCAAAACAAGCGAAATATGGATAAATTAACCTTGTTTTCGGCTCTATGGGAACAAAAAAAAAAGCTCTGAAAATTTTCCAAATCGCTTCGTTAATGAGTTTGGCAAAATTAACAATAAAATATTGGTTATTTGGTAATCATTTGGTAATCTTGGTATAATTCGGTAATTTTATTATGATACCTTACATCTTGGTTTGAAATAGAGCCATTTATTCGGTTAGATTTACATTTCGGTATTGTATTTTTCACTAATTTTATGGTGTTAATAACTAAAATTTTGAGGACCAAAATTTCCAGCAAAACGTTAATATATATAAACTGAAAAAATACACAATTAATGGTTTAAATACCGCATATTTTAATTTTTTCAGATACTTAAACTAAATATTCTTTTATCAGTACTCATATTAAGAAAAAGGTAATAAAATGTTCCAAAAATTTTAAAATAAATTTAACGTAAATAAAAAAAAAGAAGAAAAAAATTTCTAAAATTAACAAGAAAATAAAATTTTTTGATATGTGATGAAATTTGGTAATCTTAGTAAAATTCTGCAATTTTATTATGATACCTAATAGCTTGGCTTGAAATAAAAAACAATTATGTGGCTATATTTGCTTTTCAGTATTGTACTTTTTACTAACTGTGTGGTAGTAATAACTACAATTTTGCAAACCAGACTATCCAGTTGACCGTTATCATGTAAACGGAAGTGCCATATTTTTGTTTTATTACCTTCATTTTGGCTTTGTTAACCGAAATTGTGTCTCTTTTTTTTATTACTAGAAATACCATTTTCAGTGCGGTAATTTTTCCTGCATTGTTAGAAATTTCTCGGAAAAAATGGTTAAATAGCAATTTATTGAATGGTTATTTTACCATATTTAGTCAAAACAGTCGAATAACCATAAATAGAATGGTAATCAAACTGTTAAATTTATAAAAAGCTGTTTATTAACTGTTTTCATCTAATACGGCTAAACAACTAGAGTTTTATCGCACCAACTAGAACCACCTAATGAAGCTACTTATTTCTTTGCAACTGTGTACACATCACAGCCGAGCGGGCTTATCTGTCTATCTCGTGGCCGCTAGAACTAGAGTTCGAGTCCTAGTGTTGACACCACAAAATTCCCTTCAAAACATGAAGAATTTCCAGTGTCCGACACTCTCCAATGCCCTTTTCTTTACGAAATGCCGAATTCTTATGTCTAGTTAAAATATTATTATTTTTTTTTTACGTTTTAGAAAAATACTAGTTGTAAATGGTTAAAAAACTGTATAGTTTTGTATTCATGGTTTAATAAACATACTTTTTGTAAATGGTTTCGAAACCATAAAGAAAAAAAAAAGTTCTTTACCGTAAACTTTACAGTTAATCGGATGAACAGACAGCTACCAGTAATTTTACCATAATTTTAGATTGAAAATTTTAACAGTGTACATTTTTCTCCATGTAACAGGTACTTAAACTAAAAATTCTTTTGTCAGTACTCAAATTTAAAAAAAAAAAATCTAAAAATTTCTTTTTTATTACATTAAATTTAGTATTTGAAAGAATACACGTATTAAAACGCTTTTAGATTTTCAATTCAGGTGCAGTTACGCTGAAATATGAAAAAATTGAAAAGCTTTATCACACAATATATAGAATTTAAACCGTCTACAGCAGATGCTATTTCCCACAAATATTTTCGAATGCTTTTCTCTCACCAACTCTTTATCTTATGTGCCGTAAAATGTATCATTCTGTCACATGAAAGACAACAATTTGCGGTTATGCGTTGCCGTCAGCTCCGTGTGTGACAACAAATCTTTGTGCGAAGCGACACCTGTCTTTAGAAGGTGTCGCGAAGATGATTGCCGTAGTCATGTTGGTTGGCCTTAGAAATTGAACCTAAGTCTTAAGATTAGATATTATAAAGATTTTTCTTTTGTTAGACGGGAGTTTTGACATTTTGAATTATGAGTTGTAATTTTATGTAATGATGTCATCTTAGATTTGCTTCAGGTTTTTTCTTCACAAAACATTTTTGAATTTTAATATGAAGCTAAAAATGTGTTGTGGTTGAGTTTTATTTTAAATTTGAGATAAATAAAATTACTGATATTTTGAGATAAATAAAGTTGAGATAAATAAAGTATTGAAATGAAAATATATAATCTGTTTCAATGTCTATAATTTTATTTCAATATATTTTACTTAATATTATAAATGTACCGAAAAATGTCAGTTGGTTTCACACAGAGAAAAAAATTCTGATAAAATTACAGTTCTGTATGATAATAACATTTCGGGTAAAAAAAAAAACACAATTTTGTTTAATTTATAAAAATAGTTTTGTCTAGAACGTATTATAGTTTTATTTTAGACTATTTTCAAAATGCACTGATTCCACACTGTTAAAAATAAATACTCAAATTTCATGAAACTTTCTTCGTTTTTGACGAAGCTCTTT